AAAAATAGTGCAATCTAAACCTTCTGCTATGGATGTTGGAGTAAGTAATGAAGTATTGGGAAATGGTGGAAAAAAGAGAAAGGGGGGGTGGGTGGTTGTTGAGCTAAATGAGCTAAGCTCTAGCTCAACAATTTTTACATATATTTTTACCAAAAAAAAAACCAATTTTTACATATATTGAACGGGTTAATGCCATCTATCGTCCCTCTACTATCAAAAATAGTGCAATCTAAACCTTCTACTATGGATTGGCCGTTAAGTGCAACGGTTACACCGGTTAGGCCTTTTAAAATTCTTTTTTTTTTTGCCACCTTACCTTGTGGGCCCGACCCTTGCCACATCATCTCCAACCGGTATGAGGCTTTTTCATTAGACAAAGTAGCTATTTGCTGCATTGATGGGACGACTATAATCTAGTCATATAGTAAGACAATCATTTATAAACAATTTCTTTGGGGTCCTTTCTTTTACGTCAAGGATATTGCTTTACAACTAAAATTGTTAATAATCTAATATTATTGAGTTTATGGTAATTAATAATTTTATTAAGATTATTAATTTTTATTATAATTTTATAATTTTTTAATAGTTAATTATAATATTTAAAAATATTTATTTAAATTTACCTTTTTTATTAAAAAAAGCATTAACAGATGATCGGAATATTTATTTCAACAAATACATAAAAATTGAAAAAATTACAAGAAAAGTAAAAGCTAAATAGAAATATTCATTAAGTGAATAAAAATAATTATCAGGCTGATATATAAGGTGCAATTGTTGCCCATGACTTAAGTATATAGTACAATGATAATTTATTTCTAGTAAATTTGAGAGATTTTAAGTTTAAATTACATAATTTGTAGATGAAATGGATTAAAAAATGAAAAAAAAAAAAGTTATCTCCAATTGTATATTAAAAAAAAGATTTAAAGATAATCTTTTTATACAACCTTGTGTATATTTAATTATTTATTTTAATTTCCATTCAAGGTTCATTGGGATATAGTATACATCCACTAATTTAATAATACATGAAAGTTGTGTAAAGAAGTTGTACAAAAAAATTGTCCTTGTATCATTGCCCATAAAAAAATTTCAATAATCCAACATATATATCAACAAACTTCATATAAACTTCGCAAAAACTGATTAATATATTTTTCGATTTAACATATTTACGAATATTTATTAGTTTAATTATTTAATTTTGCAGTTAAAAGTTTTTTTGTATTAAATTTAAATTTAAAAATAATAATTTCTT